TGGCACTAAAAAAAAAGATTTTGGATTTAAAAATCGTTGTACTTTTAATATAATTTCGGTTTCATTCTCATTAACCTGTTTGTCTTCTCGATAAATATCACGAACAATAACGCTATGTCCATTATGTAAAACACAACAGTTATTAGGCTGATATTTTGAAATAATAAATGAACTAAATTGTACATATTTAATAAGAATTCTATCTTTTATGTTTTTATAATGAATAATTGGATAAGTTAAAATTGGTAAACTTTTATTTTTATTTGCAAATTTTTGCTCCATAATTCGATTTATTATTTGATGTAAAGGCCTACTACTTGCTCGTATTTTTGATTTTAATTTTCCCAAATAATGTTCATACTTGAAACAACTAAAATTATCAAGAAGTCCAAAATTTTTAACGTCATTGACCAAATGTATTAAATTATGAACGTTATATATAATGTTATAATTTTCGTAGATATTACTGTATTCACTAACAAACCATTTTAATAAATCGTCAGCATAGCTATTTAATAACTGACATAACTTTATATCATTCAGTATTCGAATACTTATACTAAGACTTAAAAAATGTGTATACATATGAATAGGTAAAACATCTAACAAAATTATCGGATCTGTGTAAAGGAGAAATTGACGCAATTCAGTTCCCTTCCATCTGTCAATATCAGACATACTTCGTGGTTTTCTCATAAATTCTTGGGGAATAAAATTTGACATTGAAGTTAATTTAGTGTCAGCTATGTCAAATAGATTACTTGCAAGTCTAATATTTTTTGGACCTTTACACCAAAATTGCATCAAACGTTTTACATTACCTAAATATACCAAATGTAAACTATCTAATGGAAATTTATTAATCATATCAATGCTTAACTCTTCTAAACAAGATACTCCTGTATGATGATCAGGAAATTACTTTGTTCTAAATAATTCATTAGTTCTAAGCATGAAATGTATTTCTGGAAATGTCATTCGATTTTTAATGAAATTTCCTTCTTGAATGCATTTTGAACATCCTTCATATCCATTGTGACCTTTTACTTTAGAGACATATGATCGGACAGGAGTATCACAAAGAATAGCATTGATTTGTACATTGATAATTTGCCCATCAATATCAATTCCATCTTTTTCAAGTTCTTTCATTTCATTAACAAAAGGTCTGAGAAAATCGTTGGAATTTTCTGATTTACTTTTACCATGATGAATTCCAATTACAAATGGTTCTGTATTTATAGATAAATCAACATTAGAAATAGATGCTAAAATAGGCCAAAAATTACTTGTAGAACTTGTTGTTAAAGGCAAACCATTGATGTGAACATTAATTTTGTTTACTTTAGGAAGAATTGAAAAATAATTTTTAATATCAGAACGAATTCCAAAAGCAATTCCAAAATGTTTATAAAATCCATTATTTATTTGATCAATATCGTTACTAACTAATCGTGGAGTTTTCATAACAGTCCGATAATCAGTAGGTATATTAAAACCATATTTTTGCCAAAGAAGAAAATTAGCATTAGCAGCAGTTTTATTAATATTAAATTTTATAATCCACTGTCTTAAATCTTTAAGTAAGTCTTTAATTTCATTATGTGGATATAATTACTTATTATTTTGTATTATTTCGTCATAAAGTTCGTTATTACTTAATTTTACCTTCGAATTTTCACAAAATTCTTCCTCTCCGCAATCACTATTGAATGGTACATCGCAACTCACATCGCATGTTTCTACGGCATTAATAAAACTATCATTACTATAATAGTCACTAAAATTAGAATTACACTCTACATTATGATATACAGAAACATTTGAAATATTTGAAAAATTTGCAGAATTGATAGAATGAAATACGTTTAATTTATTATCATTAATTGTATTTTCTGTCAATAATTCAATGTTCTCAGACAATAAACAACTTTGATGCTGCGCCAATTCATTATTAATTAATTGTTGCCTTCTTCTTTTACATAACTAGGACACAACATGCGCGAGCTACGCGCGCGCCATTAAGCTTTTTCACAATTAGTTATACCTAACATCTTTATATTCCATTTTAATATTCAAAAACTGAATTATTCATAATTTAATATTCAAATATTTTTTTATGATCTAAAAATTTAAATGATGATTTAATAAAAAAATAAAGCCAATTATATACAAGTGTATCGTATATTAAGTATATCTTACCTAAACTAACAATATTTTTTAAACAAATTAAAGTTGTCTAAAAACAAATATGAGATCATAATAATTGCTAAGTATTTGATTATACATATATAGTAGAGAAAAAAATATTTTATTCCAAACTAGAATAATAAATTTTTAATAATCTTTAAAGTTATTCAAAATTATTTACGGCAAAAGTTAAATGCCATTGTCTTTACAAATAACTTTAAATATCGAAAAAAAGAATTAAAGTTATTAAAATAATCAATTGAATCATATTCTGTAAAAAAATTGGCCATTATGTAATATTTTTTTTACAAAATAATTATTATTTCGATAACTATTCCGAAGATCGTAAAATGTTAGAGAAATTTTTTTCTTCAGTTTGGTCCGCAATACCTCCCCACAATCGCTGTACCATTGAGT